ACGAGGCTGAGCATCCTGAGAACAGCAGACCTGCGCCTGCTTCAAGTGGGTCCTGACCCCTGAGTAGCCTAACTGGGAGAACATGCCATCCCCCGACACCCGACCACTAGGGCCGACCGACACCGGCACACCACTCCAGGTGGAAGTACACCCCTGCGAGGAAGTTTCCAAAAGCCCCACGAAATCAGACAGGTACACTCGCATGTTTCCGAAAACCCATTCTATCTTACTGCACGCCTATAGCTCGCTGATACCCAGGGCACACAGCGGTCTGGAGTAGGACTCAGCCAATCTCCAACAGAAACTACCCAGCTGAGGCTCCTCAGACTGCTTACGAGGCACATTACAAACAGGCAGGGAACCACAACACCACACCCGAATCAGTACTGCCTACACCATCTCCAAAGACCCGAGCAAGATAAAACCACAAGATGGGGAAAAAGCATCGGGCAGATAAGCTGGAAATCTCAAAAACTAACGAGCACATCTCACCCTCGCAACAGGAACACAAAGCTCATTGTCGCAACTCCCGATCAAAGCTGGACGGAGAATGGACTTTGACGAGATGAGCGAAGCAAAGGCTTCAGCTCCTCCACACTCTCAGAGCTAAAGGAGAATTACATACACCAGTACAGCAAGACACTAACAAATCTTGAAAACGCAGTGGAAGAATTGATAACTAAGAATATTCAATCCCGTCCGCGAAGATGGGCCACTAAAACGAAACTGCGACAGAGCATGAAACCCTGACACTGAGAAATCACCGTGAAAATGCACAAGCTTCAGTAACGACTTCAGATCACCGGAAAACAGAGTATTCGAGCCGGATTGAAGGTCAAATGAAATGAAATGCAGCGATGAGAGAAATCTCACCCAAGAAAAGAAGAAAAAGAAATGAACAACAGCCTGCAAGAATATGGCGGATTATGTCAAAAAGGACCAAACTACTGTCTGATTTGGGGTGGCGTGAAAGTGAGGGGGAAACTGGAACCACTTGAGAAAAATCTTCAGGATATCATCCAGGCAAGAACACTTCCCCCAACCTCGTAGCGAGCGCGCCCAACCCCTTCAAATCTCAGCCCGAATACAGAGCCTGCCCAAACAAAAGTAGAGATGGAGAAGTCTTCCCTCATCCCAATCACTTGGTTCCTCCCCTCTACTAGGTAACCCCTTTTATTTATTTTCTATATATCTATTTTGATGTTGCATTTCTTCATGCAGATATAAGCAATATGTTTTCCTGTTTTCTTGCACTAGAGAGGCAGCACACTATGAATCATATTCTGTCAATTTTTTTTTCATTTAGTAAAGCTGGAGATCATTATGAAGGTATTAGCACGGCATATTTAATAGTCTCCTTACTCTCCAAGTAAACAAATATAACAATTGTTTCTAGTCTTTTGCTATTGCAATCTATGCTGCAATAAATACCCTTACATACATATCATTTCACATGTGTTATCATTTCATATGGTCTCCTCTAAAATTCAGGTGTTGCCAAATAGGCCATGAAGGCTCCTCCATCATTAATGGGATTAAGGCTCTTATAAAAGAGGCTTCATGCAGCATTTGGCTAGCCTGCTTTCGTGGCCTTCTGCCTTCTTCTTTTCGTGGCCTTCATGCAGCAATAAGGCCCACACCAGACACCAAATGCCAGCTCCTTGATCTCAGATTTCTCAGAGTGAGAAAGTAAACGTCTGTTCTTTGTAAACTACCCAGTATCAGATATTCTGTTATAGCAGCACAAAACAGACTAAGACAATATGTGTGCAGGTGTATGTGTAGGATTAATTCCCAGAAGTATGATTGCTAGCTTAAAGAGTAAATACACTTATAATTTTGAAACATATTTTCACAGTCCCACTGATAGGAGTTGCCTAATTTTGTACTTTTGTTAGCAATACACGAGAGGACTCTTACCCCAATATGTGTTGTTTAGGACTTGGATTTTAGCCAATATGATAGGTGTGCAGTTTAAGTTTGCATTTTTCTTGTCATGAGTGAGACAGTGTATTTTTCATTGTATAAAAGCCATTTTTGTTCCTTTCTCTGTGAACTGCCCTTGTCCTTTGCCCATTTTCTACTGGGTTTTTGGTTATTTCCCCCAAGGAATACTCTTGGTTACTCCTCCAAGAGTAATTTATACTTTAGGGGGTTGTTTCTATATGATATCAATATGAACTATTCTTCGATTTTGCCATTTTTTTTTGGCCATGCATAATTTAGGGTTTTTATGTAGTTGAATTGATCAATCTTTCCTATTACAACTAGGGCATTTTGAGTCATAGTTGGAAAACCTTTCTCCCACTCTAAGATTATAAAGGAATCTGGTCATGTTTTATTCTAATACCTTGACATTTTTTTCACGTTTAAATCTTGGATTCATTTGTAGCCTAGAGCACTATCATCTACCAGACTAAAAAAGAATATTGATGAGTAGATTCTAAACATTTCTCCCCATATTAGATCTTTCTTTAAATACAATCTTGCCCCATATATAAGACAGATGGAAGGAGAGCTGCCCTGAAGGTGCAGCAGAGATGCTCTTGTGAGTTGCAACCTCCCCAGACTCCATGGATCTCCATGGAATCCTTAGGATGGTTGTAAGCAGAGTGAAGACCACAGATATCCGCAGAACAACAACTAGGCCAAAAAGTTTGATGAGAAAAAAGTTAAAAGAAGGACTTTCTGGTTTGTCTTGATGTTTGCCATCGAGTGTTTGTTGAGGAGGAAATAAGACAAGACTGGAGAGGCCTCATAAGTCCCTTTCGGCAGGGGCTCATCTTTCTCATCAACAGTTCCCTTTTGCTGAGTTCATACGTTCAAGTGAAAAATTCCTCATGATTCTACTATGATCTGATTGGTGTAGTGGAGAATGCGTGGATCTTGGTGTCACATATGAGTTCTAATCCTGAACACTTACTAGCTGTGCAGCCTCTGGCAAGTCATTTCTGTTTCACAATGAGTAGTTCATCCACAGTAAATAATTGAGTACTTTGTATATGGAAGACACTGTGCTAATTGATGGAGATACGAAAACGGTGAAGATAGAAATGGTATTACCTTACAGCATGGAGGTGGAGCCACATGGTATAACAAATAACTATCGTAATTATTTAGATTGTGATTGTCACAACATCTTCAACAGAGTAGGGGTCCTGTGGACATGAAGACTAGGGAGGTTCAGGCTTGCTAGTTTAGGGAAGCTGGCCACCAGGTTCAGGTTTGACAGGTGCATAGGAAATGGCATGGCAGAGGGAGGCCAGAGCCTTTTAGGCAAAAGGAAGAGCAAATGCTTATTAGACCCCAAGGTTGTAGGAGCTAGACACCTTTGACCACCAAAAGGAAGGCCAATATAGACAGCATCAACATCACCATGGTGTCTGTGTGGAGAATGGATTGTATGTGTGTGGTGTGTGAAGGGCAACAGTGGATTAGGGGACATGGGTTAGGAGCTACCAGCAGTCTGGGCAAAACACACTAGCGGCCTGGGAAACAGTGGTGGCAGTGGAAAGTTGACAGATTGGTAAGGGACACAGACCTGTTCACAAAAATTTCTAGGTGAGCTATGGCCAGGTGGATGTCCACGCCACTACTGAGATGGTGAATTCTGAACAGGAGGAAGTTTGGAGAAAAATCCCAACATTTCGGCAGGACAGCACCTCCTGGTGGAGATAACAAGCGGGAGCCTCACCACAGGCCTGGTTGTGGGAGTGAAATGGGGACTCCTGGCGCGGTCGGGTGCACTTACTGTGCTAAGACAGTGAGGTCCGGCGGAGGAGGCAATGGCAGACCTGGTTTCTTGGTGCAGTCCCAGTGGGAGGCCCGGTGTCCAAAATTCTCAACTAGATTGGGCATGCCGTTTATCTTGTTACAACTGTTGACAGTAATGGCACTAGCAATAAAGTGCTTCCCAGGCGAAGATGGTTTTTCTTCTGTGTTTTCAGCCACTGCAGAGTGGACATCTACTATGAATCAAGTATCTGCGGCTTTAGGTACCAGATTCAAACACGGGATGTTGGCAGAACAGGGACTAGGACGGAGAGAAAACCTGAAGATGGATCAACCAGAAAGCAATGCATTTTCACAGACGCACAAAAAAGTGCCTCTGAAGCAGAAGATTCACCTCCACTTCTGCGTCCTTTTGAGGCAACTTTCTGAGCATCCTTTCCTCCTCCGCAGGCCGACGCTTTTTCACCTTGTTAAACTACCTGGTAGCTTTCTCCATGGGAGACGCCTTCCTCACAGTCCTCGGACCCAGTCAGACTCGTGGCCTTCCCCGGCTTCTGCTGGGTCGACTGTGGTCGGCGCCGCACGGTCTCGGACCCACTTCTCTCACGCCCTGAGGAGCGGCGGGCCCCGCGGAGCCCCTGTGCGCCCCGGCGAAACGCGGCAGGAACGCAATCTCCCGCCCCCTCAGATTCTGGCACCCCGTAGCCTTTCCGCAGGCTCCACGAGTTCTCCTGTTGATGTGATGACCAACATGCAGTTCGGGCTCTGGACACTTAGACTTTAGTCCTTACCCCCGGCCCCCAAACATGGGGAAACCACACCCTCTCTGCTCCAGTCACCAGCAGCCACTCCCATTCCTTAAGTATCCAGTATTGCATGTGTAGCCTACTTTTCTGGTTTTCATTTTTATTTAAGGTCAGTTGTTGCCCGACAACACAAACGAAAGTAACTGAATTCGAAAGACAACACTTGGAGGCGGCCCCCACTCCAGGCGCCAGCCCAGGAGCTCGCGGGCGAGCAACGCCACAGCCCAGAGCGCACCCCGTAGACCCCACCAGCCCCGGGGGAGGAAGCTCTCCCCTCCGCGCTGCACTTCTTCCGGGCTCTGGGCCCAACCAGGCAGTCCCGGAGGCCCTGGGGCTCTGGGGCCCGGAGAAGCCCTGCCCCCCGCCGAAGCCCCGCCCTGCGCCCGAGCGCCCGCCAATGGCAGCGCGCGGTGCGGCGCGCCGAGGTGGGACGGCGGCGCGCTGAGGGGGCGGTACGCTCAGGCTTCGCTTCTGGAGATGCCCCGCGGCTGGCGCGCCAGAGCTTCGAAGGTAGGCTCTGGGTTGGGAGTGGGTGCCGCGCCGTTTCCCGCGTTGCGGGCAAGCGGCGGGCCGGCGCGGGGCCGGCCCAGGGCTGCTGGGGTGAGAGAGGGTGGGCGTTGGGAGTGGAGGGCTCGGTGGTGGCGGGTCCCGTCTGCGCGCGTGGAGCCAGCCAGCGCAGCGGGGTGCCGCCCCCAGGTCCGGGTCTGGTCCTGGCGTGTGGGCCGGGCCCTCAGCCGCAGTACGGAAGTCGAGGGGTGGGGCCGCCGAGGGACGCAGCGGGCGGGAGCGTGTGTCCGCCTCGGGGATACTTGGCTTTACTTTTGTCTGTTTTTGATTCTGGTGTACTGCACCAAACAGCAGGTAATCCTGCCATGGCTTTGCCAGTCTCCTCGGATAATCCCCTGTCAACTCTGCCTTTCTTCCTGCAGCACTGGGAGGGGACTGTGCGTCTGACCGCCCAGTTCTTGGACACCGCGCTGCCTCGGGGTCCAGAACGAGCGCGGGTGCCTAGGAATCGTTGGGTGAATGGTGTTTAATTGCACCTGTATCCGCCAGTGCGTCCTTTTTTGTTCTGCTAATTGTGCTTGTTCTGGCATGTGTCCTTTATCGTTTTAAAGTTCCTTCTAACTTCCTTGCTTTCAAATACGTTTGTCTCATAGTAAAACAGTTTTTAAAAAGCAAACACAGGACCTCCTTTCTTGACTCTTCCCTTTACTCGAAAACTTCTGAAAAAAATAGTCCACATATACTGGTTCAACTTCTTTACCACTCCATGCTTTCTTGCTTCTCAAATACCATTTATTATCAGCCCACACCATCAATTTTGTGACTGGCTTTAGGGAATAAAGAAATTCATTTCAGGCACCTCTGTTGATTATAAGGTACAGCCTGATTTCAGAAGTATTAATGTATGAAAAGAAATCAAGGAAATACATCAATTTGCTAAATCCAGTGTAAGTTATTTACTTGGTCATTGGAGCATTTGACACATTGACCACCTGCTTTTATTTCTTTTGGAACATCCCTGATGTTGCTACCCTGATTGTCTTCCTGTCTTGCAACAGCTTATTTTCTTCTCTTTACTGTGTTCGTGCCATGTTCTAATTTTTGACCTTGTGCTGCTTCTCATTTTCCACATTTGCTTTGGGCAATTATCATACATTGAAGTTAATTGTCATTGCTGTATAGATGACTTTCAGATCTATATTAGATCTTTCCCTAGAGCTCAAACTTGGTGCATCACAAAATCATCATCTCACCCTTAGTCCTCCAGGCCCTAACAGTTTCTCTTGACTCAGAAATCTTAGTATTTTTGAATTGACGTTCATTTCTGGTCTCTTCATCTTGTCGTTTTTCAAGACTCTTATCAAATTTTTTTAGTAGTCGTACAGTTGTCTATTGTGTAATACGTTACTGAAAACTGAAGCAGTTCATAACAAATATTTATTATATCATAGAGTTTCTGAGAGTCAGGAATCTGAGAACGGCTCAACTATGTGGTTGTAGTTCAGGATCTCCCACAAGGCTGCAGTCAAATAAAGGTCATTGGAGCTGGAGAATACAGTTCCAAGCTCACTCACATGGTTGTTTCTTGATAGCTCCATAGGGCAGCTTAAAACAGGGTCCTGGCTTTCCCAAGAGCAAGAGAGAGAGCAACAAGATATTCGCCCCCGTGTCCTTCATAGCCTAATCTCAGAAGTGACATCCCATCTGCTGTCTATTCATTGCATGGACCAACCCGGTACAATGTATGAGGAGACTATAGAGGATCCCCAGGAGCTGGGGATCACAGGGCCCACCTTGGAGGCTGGCTTCCACAGTATTTCCCAGGAATTTATTTTTTGTTTTTGTCTCCCTTGGTCAGTCTCAAAGGACTTTAATGGTTGGAGTGTTGCTGTGTGGTGCCAGCTAGCATGCTCCCATTCCATCTTCAGAGGTGACTTTCCCTTAGGCACTACTTTGATTATATTGTTAGTCCTCTACCTAAATCTCGTTTTACTTATTGGCTACATCATAATTTATTGCAGACTTACCCTGTGTTTAGTGCTTTATATGTATTAACTAATTTATTTTAACAGTCCTGTGAGGTAGATACCATTGGTCTTGTTTTATGGATGAGGTAACTGTGGCTCAGCAGAGAGGCTAATTTGCCTAAGGTCACAGAGCAGTTAAGGGAAGAAGCTAGGATTTATATTCAGCTAGTCTGCCCCAGACCTTGCTTTTGTTCAGGCTCTCAGCCTGCTTTTCACAGCCTCCATAATGTATCTGTGTCTTATTTCTTAACTTTACAGCTTTGTTCATTATTTATCTTATAGGTAAAATAGACTATTGCTGTCACTGTACTTTCTTGCCCCTTAGTGGTAATTGCATATGTTCTTGGTTTGGAATAATGCCAGTTCTCCCATTTCTGCTGATTGATAATTTTTTTTTTTTGGGGGGGGGCGGGGGACGCAGTCTTGCTGTGTCGCCCAGGCTGGAATGCAGTGGCGCAATCTCGGCTCACTGCAAGCTCCACCTCCCAGGTTCATGCCATTCTTCTGCCTTAGCCTCCCTCCCGGGTCGCTGGGACTACAGGCATCCGCCACCACACCCAGCTAATTTTTAAAAATTTTTGTTAGAGACGGGGTTTCACCGTGTTAGCCTGGATGGTCTCAATCACCTGACGTCGTGATCTACCTGCCTCAGCCTCCCAAAGTGCTGGGATTACAGGTGTGAGCCACTGCTTCCAGCCATGGAATCTTTATCATCCATTGAGGCCTACTCCAAATCCCACCTTCCCCCAAATTATCCCAGCTGTAAATGAACTTTCTTCTGTATTTTCTTGGTTTGGAATAATGCCAATTCTCCCATTTCTGCTGATTGGAATCTTAATCATCCACTGAGGCCCACCCCAAATTTCACCTCCCAAATTATCCCAGCTGTAAATGAACTTTCTTCTGTAGTCTGTGGAATTTTATGTAGGTAACTCTTACTACTCCGTGTCTTACATTAGGTTTATTTGTGTCTACACCTTTATTCGCTTACAGTCTAGACATTTAAGATTAGGGACTATTTCTTCAGCCTATATTCCCCAGAGTACCTGTCATATCCCTTGTACATACTAGATACCTGATAAACATGTGATTAATTTATGAAAGGGGAACTAGTTTAGAAGATTTGCAGGTATTCTAGGTGTGAAGAAACATGAGGAAATACCCTAGTCTGAAGACTCGGGTATCAGCCTCAGCGATACAGTTGAATGATTTTGCAATTTTGGACAAGCCACACAGATGTATCAGGACTCTTAAGATGAAAGGTGATGTGGTCATGGACTAAAGTAGTGGAATTAGGAATAGAATGGAAAGGACTGAGTTGATAGACTACAAATGGAAGGTGAGATTTAGGCAACTGCAATTGAAAGAGGAAGAGGAAGGAACCCATGATGATTCAGGAAGTTGAACCTGTGAGAAGTGGGAAAGTCATTTGCCACTTAACTGATATTAGGATATATAGATATGTGGAATTTAAGACTCAAGGAGATTAAGGCAGTCAGTTGCTCAAAGACTGAGGTATCTTAGTTCTTTCCTCACTTCCCTCCATGGGTTTCTCCTGCTTTAGCCCCTCACTATCCCTTAACATGCTGTGATTCTTCCCTTTATGCCTTGTGTTCTCCCTTACCTTATGAAGTAGCCAAGGACGACCACATATACTCCTGTTCTTGGGCAGCAGCTTGCCTTTTGAGATTTTTTTTTTTTTTTTTTTTTTTTTTTTTTTTTTTTTGAGACAGAGTCTTGCTCAGCCTCCCAGGCTGGAGTGCAGTGGCCCGATCTCGGCTCACTGCACCCACCGTCTCCTGGGTTCAAGTCATTCTCCTGTCTCAGCCTCCTGAGTAGCTGGAATTATAGGCACCTGCCATCATGCCCGGCTAACTTTTTTTGTACTTTAGAAGAGACGGAGTTTCGCCATGTTGATCAGGCTGGTCTTGAACTCTTGACTTCAGGTGATCCACCCGCCTCAGCCTCCCACAGTGCTAGGATTACAGGTGTGAGCCACTGCGCCCGGCGCCTTTTGAGATTTTCTGTTCCTCCCCAGCTGTAATACTCTCACAGCTCCTTTCACCTCGTTAGGCTGAGTTATAGCTTCTAGCTCCTCGCCCCGCCTTCTGCTCACTCTTCCACTGACAGAAAAACTATCTCGGCAAGATCATGAAAGAGAGAAATAAAGGAAGAGTACATCTTGCTGATGACACCTTCTTTCTCTAACCGTTTGGGTCCCTCTCATCACTGAAACTTCTTTTCTTTCTTTTATTTTTATTTTTATTTTTATTTTTTATGTTTTGAAACAGGGTCTCACTCTGTCACCCTAAGCTGGAGTGCAGTGGTGCGATGTGGCTCTTTGCACCCTCGACCTCTCAGGCTTAAGCGATCCTCCCACCTCAGCCTCCCCAGTAGCTGAAACTACAGGGGTGCACCACAACACCCAGCTTGTTTTTAAATTTTTTGTGGAGATGGTGTCCTGCCATATTATCCAGATTAGTCTTGAACTCCTGGCCTCAAGCAATCCTCCGTGCCTTAGCCTTCCAAAGTGCTGGGATTATAGGCATGAGCCACGGCACTCAGCCAATTTATTTTATTTCTGGTGCTTCTTGCACTAGGGCAAGCAGATGGTAGGTATTGATTAAATACAATGTACACATGAGTTTGAAGAGTACTCAAGGCTGCAGTTTGAAAAGTGTTTTCTTTGTCAAGAAAGGGCAACATTTTGCCTCTTTGAAGTAGGAAGGAAGAAGCCAATGGGGAGAGTCAGGACCTTTTAGTATCTTAGAAGGATTGGATTCCATTACAGAGCAGAGTTAGTTTCAGAGAATAGTAACATTTCCCCCGGAGACTGAAGGAGAGCTCAGTAGATGGGAAGTTAGCTGATTTTTACAATGGCTAATTTTTTTTTCCTGGGGAAGATGTGACAACATGAGCTATGGGGCTGATACGGAGATGTCGAGAAGTGTGGGTATGGAACTCACATGTATGTGT